TTTAGTTGACAGTAGAAGGCATAGCATTTGAGGTAGGGGAAAGAAGCAGATATTACATAATCTACCATTTGAAAAGTGAAACTGAAGGGCAAGGAAGCTCAGGATTGGTTGTGGGATAGATTTCTATTAATTATTAAGCATTTTAAGAATGTTCAGTTCAATTTTGTAGCTTGAAATGCTGTTAGTTAACAAAAACAAAACAAATGATCCATTTGCTATTTGTGAGCTTGCCTTATCAAAAGACCCTTGTATCTTTCCAGGATGTAGACATTAACCAAAAGGCAGGAATCTTGTACAGTAAAACAAAATGCAAGGAGTAGAAATAGTGTTACATAAACCACCTGTATTTTGGGATTTCTGCCTTAGGCTGCATACATGCATTCACATGACCTGGGAGAATTCTCCCAGGCCTGTTCTCCTGGTGGAAAACCTCCCTTGGGCCTTGAGCAGACCTTTTAATTTCGAGCCTTTTGAGAGCAGAGAGTTTGCAGTGCTGACGCTCCATAGCCAGGGGGCCCTTGTGGATGCATCTTGTCATGTTCCATAGGCTCCTGCATGTTCCATATGTCTTCCTGCAACACAATGTGTTGATTTGGCTAGAGAAGCAGAATCTCCTAAGGGAAAGGGAGCAAAGCACCCTGGGATGCTGGTGCATTGTGCTTCTCTCAGAAGAGAACATGTACAGACGTTTGCTCTCCCAGGAGAAAGGCATCTGCTGCAGCCTCCCAGCCACGGGTGTGCGTGAAGCCCCCAGGGTTAGGCGACCACAGCTGCTGCAGTTTCCCAGATTTTGGAGTGTGTGAAGCCCCCGGGGCTGGGAGATTGAGGCTGCTGGGACCCAGCATCTGCAGCTGCCAGGGCTGAGAGTCCCCTCAGTGTCTGTCTGCTGTTCCCTCCCCCCCCCCCCCCTGTTCCCCCCCCCCCCCCACCGTGCCGGGATGGTGCACCACTGTGTCTCGGAGCCCCATCAGCTGACAGGGCTCCCAGCTGCAGGGGAGACCCTGCTACATGTGTAGATTAAAGCTGGGGTACTAACCATCTATAAAGTCAATACACATTTTTGAGATCTAACTTTATAGCAGGTTGGACCTTTTTATGTGACAGGTGCTTTGCATGTGTAGCTTGTTCAGTTGATTATGGAATTAACCTGCTAATTGCACAATACTTGTGTGTAGAGGGGGCCTAAATTCTGAAAAGTCACCCTGGGAGAAATATACTGTGGGAATCATTAAACCAAATTGATAGGGCTATACCACAAGCTCCTATTTGGCCTGGGGTTTTTGGTCAATCTGAGCATGCATGTAGATTTTAGAGCACTTCGAGATTTTTTTTTTTTTTTTTTTTTTTTTTTTACAATAGTTCTGTTCAGCCTTAACTGTTAGACATCAGACGCTTCCTTTTCCTTAATAGAAAGTGCTCAGAAAATTGAGCTTATTAAATATCGACTGTAAATATCATTTGCAAAGCATTGTGTAGCTTTCTGGTGTTGATAAGAATGTAGCACAGGCAGTTAATACTGTTGGACTTTGGGATTTAGTGTTCATGAGTGTTTAAAGACTGCTTTTTCTCAGTATGTGAAAGTATATGAAAAAGGTCTAGTCAATGTTAGCATGATTTTGCTGAGATGAGGAACTTTGCCTCTGTGTTAAATCAAGAGTGGGAACAAAGCATGTTTTATGTGAACATATCTAGCATAAAATGGGAAGAAAAAATAAGAAAATCAAGTAGAATCTTATAAATAAAATATTTCGGTTTACAGGAAATGAAAAGCCTTAAGACATTTAAAGTGTTTATTGAAGGCAAAAAATAATTTTAGTACATATGAGAACTTTTATGCAATTGTTTGCAAAGAATGCTGTACAAAAGATTTTGTATAATTAGCATACCTCTTGCATTGATTTTTAGAACAGGAATACCATTTGGGAACAAGATATTCTGGGCAATAGAACACTAAATTGCATTTCCTTAAATTGGCAATGCTAGTATGTTTATAAGTGATTTAAGTTCCAGTCTATGGAAAGGGCTTCCATGGTGTGTTATGTTGTAAGTGTGTTCAGCATGTTAGTAAATTTCAAAGTTATAGCTTTTCTATTAGATTTGTGGAATTCTGGTTTCACCCTGATTTGTGGTTAAACTTGGGTATGACTGAGTTGGTCACTAAGGGTAATGGGCTTGACCTGTAAGTAGAGAGTAGTGTTGAGGCAGGCAGGGTTCTTTGGGTAGATGTGATATCTTTTATTATACCAACGAAATAGTTGGAAAAATTATTTGCAAGCTTTTGGGCACAAACACCCTTCTTCAGACATTGGAAGATTCTGCTGCTGTTGTGTTCTCCAAGGTAGAAAAGAAGCTAAAGAGAGAGAGAGAGAGAGAGAGAGTGTGTGTGTGTGTGTAAAAGCCTGTGAAAATGCTAATGAGTGGAAGTTTGGAAGACGATGGGTAGAGATGAGACTGGGGGGGAGGGAGGGAAGGAATTGTATGAAGGAATGCAAGTGGTTAGCTTGAGACAGGTTACCTGGTGTGTCAGATGTCAGGCAGGTTGTAGTGTGTCAGAAATCCAGTGTCTATGCCAAATCCATGATTTTTTGTATTCAGTAGATTTATGAAGTGAAGTTCATAGGCTCATCTACAAAAGATGTTTTGTAAGTTTCCTTTGAGGATTAGAACTGTGAGATTGGAGAGGGTTTGTCTTACGAGAGGTGGGTACCCACATGTAATTGAATATTTTTGTCTTTGGTGGGTTTTCAGTGTGCATTCATTCTGGTACATACTTGTTATTTGGTTTCTCCTACATATTTTCCTTAAGGGCATTTGGTACACTGGATGAGATGTATAGCATTTCTAGAGGTGCAGGTGTAAGATCTAGGAATGTTGATGGATCAGTTATGGGATGTAGTTATTGTGGGAGTGGTGGAGATGTGTTGGCAGGTTTGACATGTTTTGTCTTGACATGGGCTGTATCCATTTGGTGTGGTTTGGGTCATAGGAAGTTTGATTCTGGTAATGAGATTGGTGAGGTTCGGTGCTTGTTTAAAGGCTAGGGTGGGCGGTTCTGGAAATATCTCTTTAAGAATTGAGTCTTCAAGTATGGGTTGCAAGAAGGCAGCTTCTCCACGTTCAGTATGATAGACTGTGCAGGTCTTCCTTTTTCGCTGAATTCCTGATCCTTCACTACCCTTTTGGGAGCTGTAAAGAAGTACTTAGAAATAGTCGTAAGATTTTTATTTATTTATTTATTTTTGCGTGATCATCCCTTTTGCATTTAGTGCCTGGATGACCATTGCTTTTTTTTTTCTCCATTTGCAGTTGTATGGAAGTGCCTGGATTCCCTTTCCCTCTGCTGTCCTCGCATGTTTTGCTCAGTTCCCTTTTTCCCTGCTTAATGTAGACATTTGCCCCCCAAGGGCTGTTCCTCTTTCCTTTCCAGGTAGCTGATAGTTCATTTTTGCTAGTGATGCCCATGCCTGAGGATAACTTCTGTTTCTACTTCCCTAAAGTACTGTTCATAACGGAGACAGTAGAAGAGACATTAGATTACTTCTGCTGCTTCCAAACTCTTCCAGTTCCTCCCTTCCAGCACTCTTCATTTCAACAGCACATCATCTGGCTTCTCTCTCACTTTGTGTCATTACTGCATAGACAGATCTTTCTTGCCTGTCTTTCAATCCCTGCTTCTGTTGTTATTATTTGGACTTATTCCAGCCCTGGTCAGAAAGGCTCATGATATTGTCACACCCTTATACTTCATTCTTCAGCTTCCATGTTAATATTTATCCTATCCCTTGGCTCTCAGTCTGCTCACCTTCACTCGGTTCAGCTTTCTAAAATGACCCCCTTAATACAACAGTCACCAAGCAATCCACATTTTTAACACTCCTTTATTGAAATACTTATATCTGTCAGCTACCTGGTCTCTTCCTACATTACCCATCTGTCCTTTCCTACGCACCTTAATATCTAGTCTTTCCATATCTTCCTGTTTTATTGGTGTTGATGATATCGCTTGATTATTTTTTTTAATTTTTTTTCACCCCACCCCAAGCCCTCCCCCTTTTTTTGTGCACCATTTTGGGGGGGGAAATAGGATTAAATAATTGAGAGGCTCAGTCGTCTGCAGTACCTTTACTGTTGTAATCTTTTAGTTATGAAGTACAGTTAGAAAAGGACTATTCTTTATTTTCAGATTTTGGACTCAAATTGTAGAGATGGCAAGTAGGAAAACTAAAATTAGTTGTAAACTGAGCAGCAAGATTTTTCCTTCACTTTTAAGTATATTTTTGTATTATATTGCTCCACCGAATACTGATCTTGGCTTTTCCCTTTCCTTATACTTGGCAAAATGATCTAAAATAGCCCTGCTCGATCAAAATAGATGGAAAAATGTAAATTAATTCTAGACTTAAATCAGTTGATATCTCTTGATTTTGTGGTCTACTTAGATTATTGCTGCAATCTGGTTAAAGTCCCTAAATTTAGGCCTTGTTTAGGAACACTGATACAGGAATATTCATATACAGATCTCCTGGCATGGATGTAGCTGTCAGCCAAGTAACACTTTGCTCCTGTATAGTAAAACAAGCAAAAGTGCTATATTGGGGAAAATTTCTCTTTCTCTAGTGACAACTATGTCACGTAAGGATTCTCTCCCTCTCTCTCCTTGACATAGCTATCCTGGCAAGTCTGTAGTGTATACCTGGCCTACATTTGTGCTGGAGAAACCTCAGATATTTGAATTGCATGTTATGTGCAAATTCTCTATTAATAATGTAACCATAAAAGAATATGGGAGATATTTTTGCCTTGTTTGTAAATGAAAATTGCACAAGTCTTCAAACTTTCACTTGCTCAAAATCTGCAGCAAAGTGTTCCTACTATACCAGCATGAAGGAAGACTGAGATTAAGTATTAGTTTTTTTTTTTTAAATTAAACACTGATATTTTCAATACAAGTATGCTTAATTTGCATGAGGTATTTACAGTGACCTTTTCTCTGTTTTTAGGGACCAGTTACTCTCCACAAGAAAATTCACATAACCACAGTGCTCTTCATAGCTCAAATTCACATTCTTCTAATCCTAGCAATAATCCAAGCAAAACTTCAGATGCAGTAAGTATTTTTTATAAGTATTCAAACTTGCCTTATGTAGTTTTATACAAGCATTATTTTCAGTACTTTAGATTAAATCATCAGAGGTGCACTTTTGCAAATTTTATTGAATTAGTAGGGCCTGCAAAGTGATCATAATCGTAGATGGAAGAGAATTACAAATTATTTACATACGTTGCAAAATATGTTTTGGTGTAGCTGATTGTATTTAGAATTTTCAGATTCACCTGCCTTGCAATGTAGACATTTGATAAGTTTGATAAAAAGAAATACTGCTATTGAGAGAGACCTGTTTTTAAATATAGTTTGGGCAGGGATTTTACTCTGTTTTGCTTCCCTAGCATAAAACTGATAATTTCCCAAACCTCTGTTTTTGGCGGGGGGGTTACTAGCAGTAGTAGAGCTTCAATCTGACCCTCTTACTGGCTAACTTGAGGAACTTCCTGGTTGCCATGAACATTGTACTTGGCAACTCAGGTCTTCACTAAAACATGTTCTGGCATATAGGAGAAATAAATAAATCCTTCAAATATTAATATTTTCTAAATCTATTGGGGATCTCTAAAAATTTAACAAGCTTAAAGGTTTGAATTTCAAATTGTGATGAGGTTATGAGTATACAGAAGTTTAAGAGCCAGAATTGCTGATATCCTGAAAATGTTCTGGCAGACAGTAATGTTGTTGTGATCTGATGAATACTGTGCCAGATTTACTTATGCTGTAATTTTACCACTGATGGTGATATAAAAGAAGCTACGTATATTTTTTGAAGCTGCTGTAGTGTAGTATTTCTCTGCTGCAGTATTATACGGGAGGCAAAAGTATTGCACTGCAAAATGGGAAAAGCGTTAAATTTGAGCCCTTTTGTAGGGAGGTTGGTTGTGTTTTGAAGTGCATGTGAATGAAAAGGTCCTTTACCGTATAACTTCAAATGTATTGTAATCTATATAGTTTATTTGAATTCATGCAACTAGACTCTTTTCCAATGCTGTTTGTGTTTTCAAGGCCTTCGATTCTGCAGATGACTGGTCTGAACACATCAGTTCTTCAGGCAAAAAATACTATTACAACTGCCGAACAGAAGTTTCGCAATGGGAAAAACCGAAAGAGTGGCTTGAAAGGTATGTGTGCGCATATATGCTTTAATTTGTAATAAAGTACTTGATCTAGAAACTATCTTAGTTCATTTTCCTTTGTGTTTCTTTTCTACAGAGAGCAGAGACAAAAAGAAGCAAGCAAAATGTCAGTTAACAGTTTCCCAAAAGATAGGGATTACAGAAGAGAGGTGATGCAGGCGACAGCTGCTAGTGGGTTTGCTGGTGGAAGTATGTGGTTTTTCTACAGTAAAATATTCTTGCTCTGTGAACACTATTTACTTCCTTCGTATTTTTCTTTGCCAAATTGAGAGAGATCCTTTTGCCCTATCTGCACATTTTATAGCAGAGGGGCAAAGTGGCTCAGCTCCATCTTGCTGAAAACTCAGCTTCAGGCATTTCCAGAAATCTTGCTGCCTCATCATAGTACTGTCTGCATAAGTTGGTGCATTTGCTCATTCTTTATATCATATTACTGTTCCATTTTTGCAATCATTTTAATTGCCTGCCAATAAGTGTGCGGTGTTTTTCCCCATAGCTTGAATAAAATATTTTTCTGTAACAAAAAATATTTTCTTATCCAGCTTCTCATATCCATCAAGATAACCACTGAGAGAACTATCTATGTTATGGTCTCAGATTAAAGATGGGGGACTCAGAGATTCCTTTAAACCTTGATTTCACCCTTGGAGTTATAAATAACTTGCAGCCCTCACAGGGTCCTGTACTATACTTTTAAAATAGCTTTTTTTTTAAATTCATGTTATCTTCAGACATGGTTGACATACTTCTGGGATTGATACGTTTTTGTATTAATTTTTGTAGTGTGATATTAGCTGAATTGGCTTTATGGTCTTTAGTGCTAATTTTTCTTTACCTAGTGGTATTGCATGTTTGCTTGTGCATATACATTTAATTGGCATGGACACTTTTACAGTACTTGGAAGAATTAAAAATACCCTAGCAGTTTGCTTCATTCACTTATTATTTTTCACTGTTTGAAAAATCAGCAGTTTGGAAAAAGGCCTTTACTATTTTCACTGACTCATTTTTATAGAGATGAGCAGCATACTGATTTAAGGATATGCATATTTCAAGAAGAATCATTGTAGAAATATAATATTTCAGTGAATGTTTCTTTTTATGAATTTCCAGCCAGTTTGCTACATTGCTAATGGTAGAGGGGCTGCATGATAGATGAGAAACCAGAAATTAGGAAAAAAGCATTCTATGTATGCCAGTCATGCTCTACAGTACCACAGTCACAACTGTGTAATGGCATGCATTGCATCACATGTTAAATAATCTATTACATTTTGTATGCCAGTAGCCATGTGTCTTGAAATTGGCCTTTCATCCCCTCTTGGTCTTGTGGAAACAAAAAAATCAAAATTTGTTTGCATTAAAAGCTAAACACAAGGCAAACATGGTGGATAGAAGACAACTGTATAATATAAACATTTTTTATTGGAACTGTTGACTTTAGTCCCTGAGACTGAATATAACATATGCAAATACTACATTTTGGTCTGGATTTTATTAGGAACTTTTTAAAAAACATCTTAAACTAGAACAGGGGTCGACAGCATTTTATTACCACAGGCCACTAATCTCCACCTTTTGTAGTGCTCAAGCTGCCTGTGTTTCATTGCTAGAAATACCTGGCTTCTCTATAGCTACAGTAAGTGCAGGCCAGAGCGCACCTAAGGGAGCTGTGGAGAAGAGATTGGAGAGAACAGGTGGCTCAGTTCAGCTGCATGCCACCTGATCAGCTGTGCCTTCCTGGACTGGTCTGTCTTGGGGGTTGTAGGTTGTCGACCCCTGAGCCAGAACATTCGCTGTAGTATGGTCTGTCACTAAACACAAACTTGATTGGAACTTGAGAGCAGCCAAAGTTTTTCAAATGTTGGAGGGTTCATTTTGTCACCGAGAAATGATATTTTGTCTTCTAATGTGTTCTTAGTCATAGTGTTAGTGGTTGATGTATAAAACTTGCATAAGTTTCAGTCGACTGTAATTATTGGTATGCTGCTGATTTATCATAGTCGCCTTATTGGACAAGTTTCTAACTTAAATCTTTTTTTCTTGTTGCAATATTACTTTGTGAATCCTGAACAAAAGTGGAAGACAAGCATTCCAGTGACACAAGTAGTATGCTCCCACAGAATATTTTGTCTCAAACAAGCAGACACAATGACAGAGACTACAGACTGCCACGAGCAGAGACTCACAGTAGTTCTACTCCAGTACAACATCCTATCAAACCAGTGGTTCATCCAACTGCTACCCCAAGCACTGTTCCTCCTAGTCCATTTTCTCTACAATCTGATCACCAGCCAAAGAAATCCTTTGATGCCAATGGAGCATCTACTTTATCAAAACTGCCTACACCCACACCTTCCATCCCTTCACAGAAAACAGAGAGAAAAGGTATGTCATTTAAACTTTTTTACCCTACTCAGTGATGTGCTGACCTTTCATTCCTCCCATGATTGGAGTTTGTGATTCAAATAGTGTGTGATTTTTAGAACTTATGGGAGTCTGTCTTGTTGATTTGTGCTTTGAAACAGTTATTTCGGTCATGTTATGGGGGGGGGGGGTACAGTAGTTTCTTTTATTCAACCTATGTTCCTTGCAATCTGTTGGTCTGATAACTCTGGCTGGCATTTGGACAATTCATATGCTTATTATACAAACTCTTACTTCAGATGACCTCTGGTAAAAGTGCCTAAAATCCCTTTTTTGTTACTTGTGACGTTTCAGTTATGGTGGTTTTTAACATAGCTATAGCCTTTTATGTTTCAAAGCCAACTAGGACCTCTATGTTTCTATCAGCTACTGTGACTCTGGGATTCTGGTGGCAAACTATTGCAGCTGCCTATAATTCTACATAGGGACTTGATTGTGATATTTAAGGAAAGCAAATGAGCTGTTGCTTTTGTTTGATCATATAGACATTCTTAAATTTTGTCCAGTGCATAATTATACATTGCTTCTTCAATATTAAAACAGCTACAAGTTAAGTATGTATTATTTGCATTCCAGAAACAGCTTAGAGGCACCAAGCAAGGAATGGACTCCATTATCTTGACTAGGCCTAGTTTTAGATTTTTTGAAAGAACAAATTGGCTTTATGATTGGATTTACTTACAGTGAGGAAGAACTACTGAAAAATGCAAGAATAGGGACACTTGGTACTAATGACCATATGGTATTTCAGCTCAGCATAGGAGAAAATGGTTCACAGAATGTGGCTCTGTGCAAGATGAAATGGTTTCAGAGAAGTGCTTTGGGGAAATTAGTCTGTTGACCTGTACTTATTGAAAGTAATTTAAAGTTTCTTATAGGAAGCATGCTTTAAGTACTATGAAAGATTCTTAAATCATTCTAGAAATGGTTTTCTTGGAGATGTTTGTAAACTGCTTTAGTTGATGAGGAGAGTGTAGACCTATAAGTAATACCAAACAAGCTCAGGACTAATATTTCTCTACTCTTTGAAGATACCTTCCTGCTTTCCAATAATCTAAATTGTCTCAGTTACTAGTGCATAAGCAGTACCAGCTAATCATCAAATAAAAAACGATATAGTATGAAGCAATTTTCAGTGATATTCAAAATAAATGGTGACTTGCATAAAATAAACCTATTGTAGAAAAAGGAGATGGAGCCAAAATGTTAATGAAAGTTTTTGAGGAGAAAAGATGCTATAAAAAAGAAAGTGGCCACAGGACCCATTTATGTTCCTAACAATTAAGTTGACCAGGCAGATGATTTTCCACTAATTTGGTCAGAATTCTAAAAGGTAAATATACTTCATCATCCTCAATCTTGTATTCTTTTGAGACTTGTTACTTAAATATATTGTGTATTATTAGTGAAGAAACTTGTGTGTGGTTGATACCTGTATTTAGATCTTATTTAAAATCCACATAAGCTAAGGTAACTTGCTGTAATAGTTGATAAATATTCTGTAAAAATAATCATTCAAGTCTGTCAATTTGTACTCCCATATAATTTCTTCTTTAGTCCATGAAGATGAAATTTCATAAATATTATTACTCTTATTAGCATCTAACTGTTGTTAATTACCTTACTTCATCTGATTTTTTTTATATGATACAATCGTATGAGCAAAAAATGACCACCCCTGAACTTCAATAGAATGTGGGTCAAAATGTCTCTAAAGAAAACATTTTAAAATGTTATAAATAGCCATTTTCAGGCAAATAGGAAAACAGGAATAGTTTACTGGTTTAACTCTCAGGCTTGAAATACTACAGTGGATAATGGCTAAATAGTTCAGTGTTTAATCTTTTGAGGTAATAAAGTACATGCAGTTTATTTTGTTCTAACCTTTCAAAAGATCTGTGTAATGTTCTTGTCTTTTCTTCTGTCATTGTTTGATTCCCCCAAGGATCCACATGTTTATAGTTCCCTAATTTAATGCTTGCTGATTGTTTGCCTCTGTTACTTTCCCTTGCAGACAGATAGTAGGGGTGCGCAAAGCAGCCAGCATTCAATTCAGATTCGACCCTATTCGGGAGACAGTGATTCGATTTCCTGATTTGGATCACTGTCCTGATTCAGATCACTGTCCTGATTCGATTTGGCCAAATCTGAATCTGAAGATTCGATGCTGATTCAGAGAATTGGTGATTCGATCATAGACAGCTTTATATATATATATATATATATTTTTTTTTTTCCTATGTACCTTGAGGTACCAGGCACGGCTCATGAACGCTGAGATGGTGGGATGGATGGATCATCCCACGGGGGTGGTCCCCTGTGCACTTGGCGATGGGCCCGGAAGCACTTCTGGTCCACTTCTAGGTCCGCCGCCGAGCACGCAACCTGCCTTCCTCCCCCTGTGGGATGCTCCATTCCCCCCACCATCTCAGTGTTCACGAGCCGTGCCTGGTACCTCGAGGTACATAGAAAAAACATAAAGCTGTCTCTATGGCCAAATAATTGAATCTCTCCGAATCAAATCAGAGAGTTCCAATTCGATTGAGAGAGAGAGAGAGAAATGGGTCTCCTGATTCTTTTTGGATTTGGAGATTTGGCTGCCAAATCAGGCCAAATCTCCTCTGAATCGAATCAGTGACTGAAGCTTTGCACAGCCCTAACAGATAGATAACTAGTACTATATGTTTGCAGTTTGTAAAGTACTTTGGATTAAAGGCAGCATATAAATCTAAATACCTAGAGTTTTGTCTTAAATTCAATTTAAGCAGTTTTAAATGCTCTTCGAAAATATGAAACTAGCTTGATAGCATGTTTTACGCCAAATCTCCTCTGAATCGAATCAGTGACTGAAGCTTTGCACAGCCCTAACAGATAGATAACTAGTACTATATGTTTGCAGTTTGTAAAGTACTTTGGATTAAAGGCAGCATATAAATCTAAATACCTAGAGTTTTGTCTTAAATTCAATTTAAGCAGTTTTAAATGCTCTTCGAAAATATGAAACTAGCTTGATAGCATGTTTTACTGTAATAAAGCAGAGCAGTGTTTTGGTTCCTGATCTATACTTTTCTTGCTGTGCCTGCCACCTTTTTCAAAAAATTAAAGTTGTTTTGCCAGTACTTCTTGCCAAAAAAGCTCTGTTTAATGACAATAATATGTGTGATGGGTCTGGTCTAAATTAACTTCTACCTCCAGTCAATGTGCTGGTGGGTGTATGCCAGCATGTAAGTTTGTATTACTGTTTTAGTAGCAAAGGTATATTCATAGTTTGTGTTATGGCATAATAGGTTAAAAAAAACCCAAAACAAAACACTTTTTCAGCTCAGTCTCTTTTGCTGCAGGGGTATGTTGTAGTCCCACAAGGAGATTGAATAAAATCCTTGGCTGACCTATAGCTCAGCTGTTAGCAGTAGCCTTCTGCCCTCTCAATGGCTTGCAGTAGTGGCGAGTTCCCGGGGATCTCTTTGACCTCTGCCCTTTGATTTGAGTGGTCCAGTCAGAATCTGCTGCTTCTGTTTGTGCTCACTGTGAGTGCTTGATGCAGGTAAAGTGTGGGGTTGCTTTTCCTACTTTTTGGCTGCTTTATCTGTAGGACATCACCTATTTTCCCATTACTAATTTAGCTGTTAAATGAATGTTATTATAACAGCGTGTCAATCTGTAAAATGCTGCCCCAGATAGCACTGCTACCTCTGATGCATTGATTTGTTTTTAAATTTTGTTAAAATGTGACAAGCTGCTAAAAGAATGTCATCATGTGGGTTGTGAAGTTAACACTGACAGTTTAGCAGTTGGTCCGTGGCAGTTGGACTGTCTGATGCTTCCTTATTTGAAATGCTTTCTACCTTTAGGAGCACTCAGCTATTACATTCCTGGTTACAGGTGCTAATGCACGTTCTTCTTTGGCTGGTATTTGCAGTTTCTCTCTCCGTAAATTACCTTCCTCCCACAGCAGTTTGAAAAAGTTATGCTTGAGAGGGCATTGCAGGCTTTTCAAAATGTTCAGATTTGATGTTCTTAGAACTGATGTTTAATCTTCATGTTTTATTTTCGTATTGTCAGTATCAGTGCTTGGAATGAGTTATTCAGTAACCTTATCTGACAACAAAGCAAAAGAAATTGTGCTGACTGTTTAAGAGAATCTGAGCATGGCTGGACAATCCCTGTTGTTCCAGTGTTAAAGCAGTGCTTGACCAGCTTATTTACAACCAGTGTCTTATACTGAGTGTTTCTCAGTTTCTGCTTTGAAAGATTTTGTTTTGGTATCATCCACAGGCTGTACTGGGTTAAAACCTCATTGTGCTGGTCTGTCCCAGGGAGAGAATGGGATGGCAAATGATAACTGGCTGTTTCATAGTTTCATAGTTGGTAGGGTCGGAAGGGACCTGAAGAGATCATCTAGTCCAACCCCCTGCCATGGCAGGAAAGAGTACTGGGGTCAAATGACCCTGGCCAGATGTTCATCCAGCCTATTAATAGGAGTGCTTCTTGCAAGTCAAAAGTTATAACTGTGCAATTCTTAATTGGTAGTAGTAATCACAAATAGCCAGCTGCCTAACCATTTTTGGTGGCAGTTTTCTGTAAGCATCACAGAAGCAGTGAATTTGAGAGGGAAGTTGCTTCGTTTTGTGGATTTTTTCCCGAACTGGGGATTTTTTTCCTCACCCAGGGTGTTTCACAGAAGGAGGCTTGTGGGTGATTGGGAGAAATGAGGCAGCAAAAATCTTGCATTGTTAGGGCAAAGACAAGTCAATCTTCTAGAAGGTTAAGAGAATTGGTAAGGGTTGACTTATGGAGTGGTTTGAGGGTTAGGACAAGTTTGTGGTGGAAGCCCCTGGAGGGACGTAGGATGACTAGTGACTGATAGTGATGAGCCAGGAAAATTGTTAGCAGAAGCATTTTGAATGGACAATCTCCATGCTGTTTATTTTGATCAGTGAAATCCTCTGTCCTCAGATGGC